GGTTTGAATGAGGTTACGAAGAAGACAGTTACCCTCTTCCTAGAATTGACGACATTCTAGACACCCTTTCTGGAAAGCACGTGGTTCTCAACACTTGATTTAAAAGAGTGGGTATTGGCAGGTAGAAATACACCCTCATGACCGAGAAAAGACGGCATTTACTACGGGACAAGGGCTTTGGCAATTCAAGGTGATGCCGTTTGGACTGTGTAATGCGCCGCCAACATTCGAACGCCTCATGGAGACTGTTTTGAAAGGACTTTCCTATGAAGCCTGTCTGATATACCTGGATGATATCATCATCGTCGGAAAGAGTTTTGAAGAGCATCTAGAAAATCTTAGAAAGATGCTTCAGAAACTGAAAGAAGCCAATCTAAAGCTGAGTCCCGCTAAATGCAAATTGTTCCGAAAGGAAGTGACTTACCTGGGACATGTCATCTCTGCAGAAGGTGTGCGCACGGATCCTGAAAAGGTATCAGCGGTTAAATCCTGGAAACATCCCGAAAATGTCCATCAGCTGAGAAGCTTCCTAGGGCTTTGCACCTACTATAGGAGATTCGTGAAGGACTTTTCTTCCATCGCAAGACCCCTTCACAAGCTGACAGAGCAACCAAAAGTTCTTGTGGACAAAAGAATGCGACGATGCATTTAACAACTTAAAGGAGGCTTTAACATCTGCTCCAATCCTGACGTATCCTCAGCACGGCCAACCATTTATTCTCGACACCGACACCGACGCTAGCAATGAAAGTGTCGGTGCTGTTTTGTCCCAAGAAATAGACGGCCAAGAACGTGTAGTGGCATACTGGAGCAAGTGCCTGTCTAAACCGGAGAGGAATTATTGTGTCACCAGGAAAGAGTTGCTCGCCATAGTCAAAGCTGTAGAACAGTTCCATCACTATCTATACGGCAGAAAATTCCTGCTCCGCACCGATCATGCATCATTGACCTGGCTTTTAAATTTCAAGAATCCTGAGGGTCAAATAGCCAGGTGGATACAGAGACTCCAAGAATATATGACATCACTATCCGTCATCGTAAGGATCATCACACGGAAACGCCGACGCCCTGTCTAGAAGACCTTGCCTATTGTTCCAGGGTGGAAGCGAAATACGAGCTGCTGACTCCGGTCGCAAGACAAATTACAACATCAACATCGGCTGATCGAGAACCGTGGAGTGATGATGAAGTCAGGAAAGACCAGCTGGAAGACCGCGACATTAAACCCATAATTGATCTAATGGAGTCGTCAAACAGAAAACCTACCTGGCAGGACATTTCTATCTGTAGTCCTACAACCAAACAATATTGGGCACTCTGGGATTCACTTCACATTCGAAACGGCGTCTTATACCGGAAATTCGAATCGGATGATGGGGAGACGTTCCGATGGCAGCTGATACTTCCAAGATCCCGCATTCCTGATGTCCTTAAAGAACTACATAACAGCCCTACTGGAGGTCACTTTGGAATAATGAAAGACCTTACAGAGAGAGTTCGTGAGCGCTTTTACTACTGGAATAATGCAAAGGATGACATGCAAAAGTGGTGCCGATCTTGCGATGCCTGTGCAGGTCGGAAAGGACCTAAGAGACGCAGCCGAGGCAAGCTGCAACGTTACAACGTAGGGGCGCCTTTTAACCGAATCGCCTTTGACATCCTGGGACCTCTGCCACGAACTGCTGATGGCAACAATACATACTCGTTGTCGTTGATTACTTCACCAAGTGGCCTGAAGCTTATCCTATTCCTGATCAAGAGGCTGTCACAGTAGCTGAGGTAATGATACAGCACTGGATTTCCAGGTTCGTAGCGCCTCTTCAGTTACATCCGATCAGGGAAGGAATTTTACCTCGGTAGTAATCAAAGAACTATGCAAACTACTCGGCATTGACAAGACCCAAACGACGCCATTACATCCCCAGTCGGACGGCATGGTAGAGAGGTTCAATCGAACCATCCTTAATAACCTCTCATTAGTGGTTTCCAGAAACCAGCAGGACTAGGACAAGAAATTACCACTCTTTTTACTGGCTTACCGCAGTGCTGTCCACGAGACTACCGGCTATTCTCCATCACAGATGCTCTTCGGTCATGACCTTCGTCTGCCTTGTGATCTATTGTTTGGCCGCCCTCCGGATGCTCGTTCATCGTCTGAGGAATATATTCAAGATCTCCAGGTCCGGTTTGAAGTGATGCACAACTTTGCATGAGAGCGAGTCAACTTGGCGACGGAGAAGATGAAGACCCGCTACGACACAAGAGCTACTGAACATCAGTTCCACGAAGGAGACAAGGTGTGGTTGTGGAATCCGACTCGACGGAAAGGACTTTGTCCGAAATTACAGTCACCTTGGGATGGCCCGTATACAGTCCTAAAAAGGCTGAATGACGTCGTGGTTCGGATTCGTAAGTCTTTCGAACTCTAAACCTAAAGTCGTTCATTACGACAGGTTAGCTCATTGCTATGGCCATAGTACGTAGTGTAAATAATTGTAAATAGTATCAGACCATGGTCCTTTTTGTTTTTCTAAATGTTATTTGATTTGATTGTATTAGTATTGATTTGCTTTACTATTTTATTTGTATTTAGTATTTGTTTTGTATTTAGTATTTGATAGCATTTGATTTGTTTAAGTTAGTTATTGCATTTATTGTTTATGTTGTATTGATTACTGTAATTGTAATGTTTATGCCTCAGTTGCATTGATGCCTTAGTTGTAAGTATAGTCTTTCTGTCCAGGGATTGTACTGCCCGAGACGTGCAGTCCTTGGGAAGGGGGCAGTGTTACGAATTTGGTATTTAAAAAGCTAATGACAGTTCAATTATAAATCAAATGGTTTTATTTCTCGCACAGTGCAGCGCGTGACGAATATTAAAAGAAAGCTAAGCCGGAAAATTTAAATTACAAGAGCGCGTGCATTAAATAAATAAATATCTCTTTTTGATTTCGAGAAAGTACTGGAAAATTCTAGCGCGTGATTTTAAAATCTTATAAAAGGAGGAAAACATCTCAGTTTGGAGTAGAGTTGCTTAGTTTGTTGTTGTTTAGAAAACTGCCGTTGTTGATTATAGCGAATTCGCGGATTAGCGTTCTTTAGCTGTTTTGAATTACGTTCTATTGTACATTTAAGTAGTTAAAAGATAACTACTGTGAGATATTGTGATACTGCATGATAATTTGAGAAAATTTAAGCATTTCTTTTCTGTTGTGATAATAATAAATTTTTTCATTTTTCATCGGACTTGTGCATTCATTTCATAACGAACCCGTACGCACGCAACAATATGTTTATCCTAACAAGCTTAAGTGTAGATAGTTTTAGGAACTGGTAATTTTTGAATTAGAACTTGCAGAAATTTTGAGAATTATGCAAAATATGAAATTTCATTTGAAAATTTCAACAGAATTCATTTTCTCTAATTCTTCTAAACATAAAGAAATTAAAGTGAGATATATTTTCACATGTTTTCATAAGTCTGCATACAGTAATATTGTGTGTTTATAAATTGCAATGTAACCAAAATTTTATTTCATTACAGTAATGGTTGCATGTAAATAAAAATAAAAATTTAGCTGAAATGGGACCGAAGCATAACTATAATTTCGATTTTAAACCTTTAAAAATTTTTTATTACTTTTAGTTTAATTAATTAATTAAGGCTGATACTGATTTTTTGTAGGCTTATGTTGCCATTAAATCAATAAGAATATTGAACTAATTCGACCCTTTAATTAATCATATATAATTTTCATGAACGTTTCTCTCTTTTTAGAACAAAAATGCAGTTTTCATCTTTCAGAACATTAAAAATATATTAAATTTTCAAGACCATGCATTTTTGTTTTGATATACTTAGTTCATCTTATAATGTATCATTCAGATCATTGAACTAGTTAGAACATAATTCTGAGGTAAAATACTTTAAACATTAACTGGTAACAATATTTAATTCAAAGTTCTAAATTTTACTTTCTTTTTGGTCAATTGCATGCCATTTTACAATTCTTCAAAATTTTTTACTGATCAAATTCAAGTAGGAAGGAAATATTTTTATTAATCAAAGTGCTTTTAAACACAATATAATTAATAATCAGCATGCATGTATTATGTAGGTAAATGTAGTAATGTATCGCTTATAGATGTAAACAAAAATGAAATATACTAATATATATTTTTGAAACATCAGTTAATTCTTCATAAACTGGTTCATTAGTGAATTTATAAAGTTGTTACTTGGTTTTTCTTTAATTCTTCTATATAAATCCTTGTAATAGGTTAAAGTAGGTAAGAAAATAAAATTTAATCAGAAAAATTATGCTGAAAATTACTGTTGAAAAACAGGCTTAATTTTAATTAAGAAACTACAATATTAACCTTTCATTGAGAATTTTTCCTTAGACTTTTCTTCACATTTCCTTTCTATTCAACTCTTCATGATAAATATTGGTTTTAAAGAAATGATATACAAGAGAAACAAACCTAAATTCAGATAAATTTAAAACAAGGATCGGGAGTGCCACGGACTTACTGAGAAGGTTCACATCTCTACATATGTAAATATTTTCCCCCCTAAAAGTATTTTAATAAAAAACAATGCATATAACATTGGATTTACTACTTAATGAGAGTTCATACAATTGCCAATTGGAATATTTACCCCCCTCCCGGAAATGGAAAACCATCTTGACAATGCTTCTTTGGAATATTGAATTAATTAATAGATCTGCACAGTGTTGAAAATGTACCCTAAGAATTAAAGGATATAATTTGACTGTTATGTTTATGAAGCTGAATTGGTTTTGAAAGTGTTTTTGTGCATGGATATCATATTTTATTAATTTCTGTCTATCCTTAACCCTGTTTCATTGTACAATTTTACGTTTTTTCTGCCTATTCTGCTCAATTTATGTTTTTCCTGTGAAAGCAACTTTTGTCTTTTTTTTGATGAAATTATTTTATCACTGCATGTATTTGCATTATTATTCATCTATTAGTTCTCACATATGCTGATATGCCTGCTGAAGATGATGTTGAAGGATCCTCCTTAACATCTCATGACATGGATACACCTCCTCCATTATATACCCCAAGCCATCGTCATTCTCATAAAGGATTACCTCATGTTGAAATGGTTCGACCTGCTCAAGATGGTAGTACTGTCATTACACCTAGTTCAGAATCAGCAAAAGATGAGAAAAAGAAAGGTGAGATATGATGTTTACTATGTAAATTAAATATGTATGTGAAATACATATTTAATTTATGATTTTTGAAACTAGTGTGAAGTTGCATTGTATAAAAATAGCATAGCAAATTATTAATCTTGATTGTATGTAATTTCATTATGCATTAATTCACATGGTAAAAATAATGAAGACAGTTATTGCAGAAATCCAGTAATATAATTGTGTAATATTTATTAAAAATTATAATATATAATATATATTATTTATAAATAAATATGTAATTTTATTTGAGCTTTTTTACCCGTTTGTGAGATTAAGCTGATACAGTAGAATTTCTGGCATGTATTCTTATATTGGATAATACATATTTACATAGAGCAAATCTCATGGAAAGAAGACATTGATCACGTGCAATGGCAACCATATTCGTGTGACCACAGTACCTTTGGAATGCCCTTAGATATGCTATTTTTGCTCATGTACTCTGTACTCTTTTCTTGAAAGAGCTACAGGCTGTTCTGTGAAATGGACAAGTATTGCCTTTTGGTACAGTTTGACATTTTAAGTTTGGAATATTACTGCAGAATTTGCATGAAA